AAAAACGTCAATAGTTAAGAAAGTACAGTGCAATTTAATATAATTAAGAAACGACTTACATGTAATATATATAATATATATTTTAAAGATATAAGCTCATCCCGATGTTATACTCATCAAGAGCTTTCATTTGAGTACCCACTTGCATTTTTTATATATTTTTCATTTATACATATATGTAATATATATAAATATATAAAATATAAGAAAAATTGATGTGGGTATTCAAATGAAAGGTCTTGATGAGTGTAACATTGGGATGAGCTTATATCTTTAAAAATGTCAATAGTTCACAAGATACCAGGTCATTTCTTAATTACGTATCTAGATATAGCGCATTTCTAATAAAGCCTTTAATATCATTATAAATTGACTATCGGTGAGAAATATTAATTATACAAAACATTGAAATTTTTATACCACACAAGTTCCTTGAAATGAAATTAATCCAACAGTTAAAATCAATGACCTAATTAACAAATCAATCAATTTCAATTAAAAAAACCACGAAAGTTTTATAATTAAACCGTCAATTAAAGTTAACAGTAACATGTAAAAAATAGTAGCAGAATTTTAACTAAAAACTGATTTAAATTAACTTAATAATTGAGTGAATAAACTAATAACTAATTGTAACAGGTGATGCAGTGATGATTAAATTCAACGATAAAATGATTAGTTATAACGACAACTTCCGTCTATATATAACAACGAAACTGGCAAACCCGCATTATAGTCCGGAGATATCAACCAAAACTGCATTATGCAACTTCGCCATTAAGGAACAAGGTATACATAGATATATATGTGCATAAGACTAATAGAGTACCAGAGCGCAACTGGCCTTTAAGATGACATACTCAATGGTTTCTCTTGACTCTGTTCGGTCTCTGAATTGTTGGCAACAACTATATGACTATGACGTATCTTAGGTTTAGAAACTCAACTACTCGGCATTGCGGTGAGAAAGGAGAGACCACAACTCGAAGAGCAGAAAGACAACTTGGTACTCAGCATCGCCACGGGCAAACGAACTTTGGAAGAATTAGAGGACAAGATTTTACAGTAAGTTGATTGTTTTTTATTACAGTTGAGAATTTTTTGGAAATTAAAGAGGAGTGAACGAATACAAAAACTATCTAGCCATAACTCAAAAAAACACTTTGAATAAATCAAGTATACGATTAATAAAAATTAAGACCAGTGATAATTACTATAAAGTTCTCAGTTAATAATAACGAGCAACCTTGCCATGACTTGTGAACTATAAATAAATAAAATTTTGCTCATAAATAAAGATATAAGCTCATCCTGATGTTACACTCATCAAGAGCTTTCATTTGAGTACCCACATGAATTTTTTATATATTTTATATATTTCACAAATATCAGAAATATCATATATATATAAAAAATATGAAAAATTCATGTGGGTACTTAAATGAAAGGTCTTGATGAGTGTAACATCAGAATGAGCTTATATCTTTAGAAATATCAATAATTAAAAAATTATATTGTATTTTGTCAATTTATGATATTTTTAAAGATATGAGCTCATCATGATGTTACTCTCATCGAGACCTTTCATTTGAATACTCACATGAATTTTTTATATAATATATTTATATATATTACATATATGTATATATGAAAAATATATCAAGAATACATATGGGTACTCAAATGAAAGCTTTTGATGAGTGTAACATCAAGATGAGCTTATATCTTTGAAAACGTCAATATTTAAGAAATGACGTTGTATCTTGAGAACTATTGAGATTTTTAGAGATATAAGCTCATCCTGAAATTACACTCCCCGAGACCTTTCATTTGAATACCCACATAAATTTTTCATATATCTTATATACTTATATATATATATATATATATATATATATAAGTATATAAGATATATGAAAAATTTATGTGGGTATTCAAATGAAAGGTCTCGGTGAGTGTAATTTCAGGATGAGCTTATATCTCTAAAAATCTCAATAGTTCTCAAGATACAACGTCATTTCTTAAATATTGACGTTTTCAAAGATATAAGCTCATCTTGATGTTACATTGATCAAGAGCTTTCATTTGAATACCCACGTGTATTTTTGATATATTTTTCATATATACATATATGTAATATATATAAATATATAAAATATATAAAAAATTGATGTGGGTACTTAAATGAAAGGTCTCGATGAGTGTAACATTGGGATGAGCTTATATCTTCAAAAATGTTAATAGTTCACGAGATACAAGGTCATTCCTTAATTATGTATCTAGAGATAGAGAATTTTCAAATTCAGCCTAAATACTTATCATAATAAATTGACTATCGGTGAGAATGATATGAAACTTTGAAAATGCACAAATTTAAGTCAAGGCCTTTGCAATGACCCTAAATTTACTAAAAAAAACCAATTTCTTTATATGACTATTCTGGAAACAAAATTTTTCTTATTCTCTTAATAATGTAGATTATCAATTGGCGTTTATTGCGACAAATTAAATGAACTTTTAAAAGTAACTTTATTCCATTTCTTAAACCCGAAATGTTTTAAATGAAAGCTTGGTAAAACTTTTTCAGTCTCCTGAGTATAACTTCGGGCTCTCTGTTGGACGACCTAGACCTCTTGAACACATTACAGACTTCAAAAAGTACCTCAACTTCTGTCGAAGAGTCGCTAGTTACCTCCCTGGCCACCGAAGAAGAAATAGACAAAGCAAGAGAAGAGTATCGCCCATGCTCTAAACGCGCCACTATTTTATTCTTCATTCTCAATGAATTGTACATGATAGACCCGATGTATCAGTTCTCGCTGGACGCTTACATAAGCCTCTTCATCCACTCGATCGATAAGTGCCCGAAGAAGCACAAGATAAGCGAGAGAATTGAAGCGCTGAATGATTTTCACACTTATGCAGTTTACACGTGAGTTTAAATTGAAATGTAACAAATAAAGAAGTTTTTTTAGAGTTTACTTGCCAGTAAAATGTACACACTTTTTATTTCTGGGTAAATTATTCAGGAACACGTGTCGCGGCCTGTTCGAGCGTCATAAACTATTATTTTCATTTCACATGTGTACTAAAATACTTCAAGCCCAAGGGAAAATAAACCCGTCGGAGTATTATTTTTTATTGAAAGGCGGAATTGTTTTGGATCGAGAACATCAGCCCGAAAAACCGGTCACCTGGTTGTCTAGCGAGAGTTGGGACAATGTTACTGAGCTTGATAAATTTCCTGGACTTCATGGGATTGCTTCTTCGTTTGAAGAAAGAGCGCGTGATTGGTACAATTGGTAAGACTCTAAAGTTACTTGATTTAGGAAAAATATTCAAAAATTATTTTGAAGAAAATCGGTTGTTTTGATTCAATAATTTCTTATCTTTAAACTCGTTTTATCTTTTTAATTAAATAAAAAAATTTTTTTTTCTTTCACCCATTTTAAATTAAAATGTATTTGAGACTAATTTTTGATGATATAGAAAATAACAAAAATCTGAAAATTGATTGTATTTTTTAAATAATTTTTTAATACTTTTACTTTTTTTATATTTATAAAAATTGCCATGTGGGTACTCAAATGAAAGCTCTTGATGAGTATAACATCATAATGAGCTTATATCTTTAAATATATCATAAGTTGACAAAATACAATATAATTTCTTAATTATTGACGTTTTTAAAGATATAAGCTCATCCTGGAGTTACACTCATTGAGACCTTTCGTTTGAGTACCCACATGCAATTTCATATATTTTTCATATATACATATATATAATATATATAACATATATGAAAAATTGATGTGGGTACTCAAATGAAAGGTTTCGATGAGTATAATGTCGGGGTGAGCTTATATCTTTAAAAATGTCAATACTTCACAAGATATAAGGCCATCTCTTAATTATGTATCTAGAGATAAATCATTTTCGAATGTAGTCTAATTATCTATCATAACAAATTGACTATTGGTGAGAATGATACGAAACCTTGAAATGGCACAAATTCAAATCAAGATCTTTGCAATGACACTAAATTTAACTAAAAAAAAAACCGATTTTATCTCATGACTATCCTAGACACAAAATTTTTCTTATTCTTATTTTAATTTATTCCCTTATTTTTTATGCAGAATATCTTGAATTAATTCAAACAAAATATTTATCAGCAAGAGTGAAATTTTCAAGATAATATTTTTCTTGAATCAAGTTTTTTTTTATTATTTTTAGTATAATCGTGTATTTTTTGCAAAAAAAAATAAAATAGATGATAAAGTAATAATAACTATTAAATTGCAGGTATATAACGACAGAACCAGAATCAATGTACCTGCCAGGAGGATGGGAAGAGTCGCTGACAGAGTTTCAGAAAATATTGATAATCAGAAGCTGCAGAACCGATCGCGTAATATTCAGCGTAACAAAGTTTATAATAAATAATTTAGGATCGCGATTCGTGGAGCCGCCAGTTCTCGATATCAAGGGAGTGCTGGATGACTCGACGGCGCAGTCACCCCTGATATTCATCCTGTCTCCAGGCGTTGATCCAACCGCGGCGCTGATGCAATTAGCTGAGAGTCAAGGAATGGCACAGAGATTTATGACACTGTCACTTGGACAGGGACAAGCACCTATTGCGACAAAGTTATTATGTTATAAGTTATAAATTTAAATATTATTATGCGATTACCATCGATTTTATTATTTTAAAGTATTCATATTATTCATAATTAATTATCGGGAGACGTTTATTATCAGTATGATTGAAGCCGGGTGGCAAGACGGGTCATGGATATTTTTAGCAAACTGTCATCTGTCACTTAGCTGGATGCCGACGTTAGATAAAATTGTCGAGTCATTAATAAATAATGGACATTTACATCCTGACTTCAGGTATCTATCTTATGATTATTCTTATAATTATCATGATGTTTCTTGAAATACTTGTTAGGTCTTAGCTGATAATTACTTATTTATAAAATTATATTTATTATTTATAAATAAGTCGTCAATTGAGAATCGATAGCATATCAGTTTATCGAAAGCACAGCTGCAAATAATCCCGCCTTTAATAATAAATGTCTGACTTGATTGGCAAACTCGCTGATAATAATTAACGAATTATTTATCGATAAAAATATGTTAATTCTTTACTGTTCAATCTATAAATAAGATATTTCGATTTTTTTTTAGCATTCACATATTTTTCTTTTTTAATTTTTTTAAAAATAGAATGGCTAAAAAAAATTTTTTTGAAAAAATAATGAAGAAAAAATTATTGTCGACTTCAAAAGTTTGATAGCTAATTGAAATATTAATTCTATTGTTTAATTTATATTAATCAAATACTAGAATCTTGCAGTCACTATTTTGCTTAATTGAATAATGAATATTGTTAAATTGCACTGTACTTTTTTAACTATTGACGTTTTTAAAGAAATAAGTTCATCCCGATGTTACACTCACCAAGAGCTTTCATTTGAGTACCCACATGCATTTTTATATATTTTCCATATATTCATATATATAAATATATGAAAAAATTGATGTGGGTACTCAAATGAAAGGTCTCGATGAGTGTAACATCAGGGTGAGCTTATATCTTTGAAAATGTCAATAGTTCTCAAGATACAAGGTCGCTTCTTAATTATTGATATTTCTAAAGATGTAAGCTCATCCTGATCTTACGCTCATCAAGAGCTTTCATTTGAGTACCCACATGCATTTTCATATATATTTCATATATTCATATATAAAAATATATAAAATATATGAAAAATTGATGGGGGTACTCAAATGAAAGGTCTTAATGAAAGTAATGTCGGGGTTTGCTTATATCTTCAAAAATGTCAATAATTCTCAAGATACAAGGTTATTTCTTAATTATTGATATTTTTAAAGATGTAAGCTCATTCTGATCTTACACTCATCAAGAGCTTTTATTTGAGTACCCACATGCATTTTTGATATATTTTTCATATATACATACATATAATATATATAAAATATATGAAAAATTGATGTGGGTACTCAAATGAATGGTCTTGATGAATATAATGTCGGGATGAGCTTATATCTTTAAAAATGTCAATAGTTCTCAAGATACAAAATCATTTCTTAATTATTGATATTTTTGAAGATGTAAGCTCATCCTGATTTTATTCTCATTAAGAGTTTTCATTTGAGTACCCACATACATTTTTATATATTTTTCATATATTTATTTATTTATTTTTATTTATTTATTAATTGTATGCCAAGGCCAGAGCCGAATGGCAAATATATATATATTCATATATATAAATATATAAAATATATAAAAAATTGATGTGGGTACTCAAATGAAAGGTCTTGATGAATATAATATCGGGGTGAGCTTATATTTTTAAAAATATCAATAGTTCACAAGATACAAGGTCATTTCTCAATTATGTATCTAGAGATAGAGCATTTTTAATGAAGCCTTAATACTCATCAATGATGATTTATAATAAATTGACTATCGGTGAGAATCCTTAAAAAGGCACAAATTCAAGTCTCGACAATTTTTTCTTATTCTTTTAATAATAAATAGATGACTAAAACTAGAATCAAATAAAAGTTAAATCTAACCCAGTTCTTCAGTTATAATTAAATTGTATACAAAATAGAATATGTAAATTTGTTTAAAGACTATGGCTGAGTTCAAGTCCGACTTCGGAGTTTCCTATATCAATCCTTCAAGCGGGAGTTAAAATGACTACAGAACCGCCTAGGGGTCTGAAAGCCAACATGAAACGACTCTATGGTTTAATTACAACAACTCAATTTGACGTTTGTCAGGCGAAAACTAAATACAAGAAGCTATTATTTGCGCTAGTATTTTTCCATTCGATATTACTCGAGCGTAGAAAATTCCAACAACTTGGTTGGAACGTTATTTACAGTTTCAACGACTCGGACTTCAAAGTGTCTGATAATATCTTGCAAGTGTATTTGGATGATTATCAAGAAGAAACTCCCTGGGACGCATTAAAGTACCTGATAGCTGGAGTGTGTTACGGCGGACACGTGACTGATGACTGGGATCGACGTTTGCTGATGACCTACGTCGATCAGTATTTAAATTCGGAAATATTTACAAAGAATTCCTACCGGCTGTCAACATCACCGAGCTACTACGTCCCACGTGATGGATCGCTCGAGTCTTATTGTGACTTTATAACGATGCTGCCTAGCACCGACAACCCAGAAGTATTTGGTCAGCATATAAATGCAGAGATAACGTCACTTATCATTGAGACACGTTCAATGCTTGAAACTTTGATGAGTCTGCAGATTAAAGTGTCACCCAATGAAATTACAACCAGCAACAGCAGCAGTTACTCCAAAGAGGACAAAGTGATGCAGCTAGCAGGTGACATAGAGGCGATGCTGCCTCAGAATATCGACTGGGAGACAGCTGAGAAACTAATTGGATCAACAAATAAGACACCACTTAGTGTTGTATTGCTTCAGGAAATAGCTAGGTACAATATCCTACTTGAATTGACGCGAGACAGTGTAAGGGATTTACAAGCTGGGATCAAAGGACTGATAGTTATGTCAGACGAGCTGGAAGAAATATTCATGTGTGTATACGAGGGTCGTGTTCCATCAACCTGGCTGACAGCTTATCCGTCCTTAAAACCCCTAGGCTCATGGACCCGAGATCTCATCAGCCGTGTTCAACACTTGGCTAAGTGGGCGGAAACCACTCGTACGCCTTTACTCTTCTGGCTTGCCGCTTACACATTTCCTACCGCTTTTCTTACTGCGGTGCTTCAAACTTCCGCGAGACTCCTCGGTTTATCTATTGATTCACTCACTTGGGAGTTTAATGTTATCAATACCGAGGACCCTATTACTGAACCACCTGAGGTATGCATTGCTATTTTATTTTTGGACATTTAGATGGCAATTTATGAAAAAAATTTTTATCTAACCTTATTAGATCTAATCTTTTTTTTGTTGGAAATTTTTGAAAGTGTATCAATTTTTAAAGGCAAAAAAAAATAACTAACTCAGTCTAAACTTTTCTATCAATATTGGTCGATATAAAAATTTTGGGTAAATATTTACAAGTGGGGTCATTTTTTTAAATTAAATTTCTATTTGATTTTATTAGTATATATTTTTTTTTAAATACATAAAAAAATGAACAATTAAAAAAAAAAAATTGATCACAATTTTAACAAATTTTCAAAAAAATTTATAAATTTTTCAGAAAATTGTGATATTCAACTTTTTTTTTTAATTGTTCGTTTTTTTATGTACTTTTTAAAAAAAAATATAAATCAAAAAAATTAGAAAAATGGTTGACCCTAAAGGCCATCTCTGCAACTTCCCGCCAACTTTATACCAAAGCGCTTAACATTTTACTTATTTTGTTTTTGAGCTCTTCGAGCTCCAAAATATAATTTTAGTGTTATTTTGATCTCTCTAAGCTTAAAGAAGTAGCTTTTCTATGCCTTTAAGCTCTTTGAGCTCAAAAGTCTATTGGAAGTTAAATAAAACACTATTTTTTTAATTTTCAAACTGTAATAACTTTTGAATGAATCAACCGATTTTCTTGCGGTTTACGGCATTAAACTCAGCTTTTTTAGCTCTTTAAAGAATCTTAGAGCACAAACTGCTCAGACTAAAAATTTCATAGAAAATTAGAAAAAAAAATTGTTTTCAATTTTCTTCGACGATATCTCATGAACGAATCAACCAATTTTGACGCGGGAATAGTCAAATGTCGAGATCTGATGAAAACTCGATTTTTAAAAAACAGGGTGAAAGCAATAACTTCCCGATTTTTTTTAATTTTTAATTTTTTTAGCGGGAAGTTAAAAAGATAAAATAGAAATTTTATCCAAAAACATGAGAGCCAAATTTTTTCCCATCATTTGAAGGGAAACAAAGCTATAAAAATCTTAATTTTTTTCTTTCACGACATTTTTTATCATAAATGCGCCATAAAAACAAGCAGAATGAAAAAATTTTGAAACTGTTTATTTTTCACCTAATTATAGCCTAAAATGGGGTTGACCGTACTTGTAAATAATTACCAAATTTTGTACTAATTACTGAAATCCATAAATTTATTTTAAATCGAATGGTTTTGAATTATTAAAAATTTGATTGATATTTATCAATTGTCTAGGGTGTCAATGATTAGTATTTCAAATGAATGATAATAATAATTGTTATTCTGACTTACTACTTGCAGGACGGTGTTTACGTGAGGTCTATTTACCTAGAAGGTGCGGGCTGGAATTGTAAAGCTGGAACACTGGTGGAACCGGCGCCGCTCCAGCTGATCTGTGACATGCCTGTCATTCACTTCCGACCCATTGAGTCGACGAGGAAAAAACCTAAGGGTAAATAAAGATATTATCGATCATAAAATAGAATTATTCTACTTTAATTTAATTACTTTCGGACTTATCGGATAAGTTATTCTTTCGAGACTTTTATCCGGTCAAATATTGACAATTTTTACTTTTATTATTTATATCAAAGCTTTTTCAAAATTATCAATTTATCATTTTGTTGTTTTGTAAATAAACTTGTTTGATAAATATTAATCAATAAGATGTGAGCAGGAAACTTTGATAAATTGAAAGTTTACAAAAAAGTTTAATATAAATAAGTGTGAAAAAGGAGACCAGATAAAAGGTCTTGAAAAAAATTACTTTTCATTGAATATTGTATACACTATTCTTGTAGATAAATAAAATTAATTACTTTTTCTTTTTTTTTAGACGTTTACAATTGTCCTTGCTACTATTATCCTCTGAGATCTGGGACGCAATCTCATTCAGCGTTTGTGGTCGCTGTGGATTTGAAGACTGGACAGGAAAATCCTGATTTTTGGGTCAAGAGAGCCACAGCTTTGTTGTTAAGTCTTGCTGATTAAAACAGACATTTATTTTTATTTTAATACAGTTACTGTTTGTTAGGTACTGAAATAGAAATATTTAAACATTTTATTTATTCTTAAAAAATTAAACTTTTAATTTTAGTTTTTCAAAAAAAAAAATCTGCAATAAAATATTTTTTTTTAAAGAAAAAAAAAATTTTTTTTGACTTATGATTCATTAATTTAAAAATTTTAGCAATTTTATTAAATTAATTTACTAAAAATAATAGATATAAAATTTGCGAATGAAAAAAAAATATTTTCATGAAAATTAAATTAGCAGATATTTGATAATTAAAAAAAATATTCAAACAAATAAATTGTGGCAAAAAAATTAAAAAAAAAAAAAAAATTGATATGTAAAAACTTAACAAAATTAAAAATGCAATTTTTCAAAAATAAGTTTTCGGAAAAAATTTCTTTGTAAAAAAAAATTAAAAAATTGTCAAGAAACTGCTAATTTAAATTAATTAAATTAAAACAAATTAATTAAATTAAATCAATCTAATTAAACTGTATTTAAAAATTAATAAATTAAAAATGAAATTTTTTTTTAATATTTTTTAGCTAATTGTAATATCATTAATTTTTAATTTATTGATTTAAAATTTTAGATCCGCTATTTTTATTACTTACTGTAAATAAACTAGCAATTTATTAAAATAAATGCAAGTAAAATATCAATTGCTGACATTGTTGAGATTCAAAACGTTGATGATGACAACTGACGGCACACTGATACTTAAAAACCCGAAAACACGACACTAGCGCCATAGAAACTATCTCTACTGTGCCGACTGGCGCTATTTTGTATTCCGAATGACTTTCAAAAAAATATTAAATCTTAAAAAAAAAAAAATACGCGATTACCGAACAAAATTTACGAATTTAATTAATAATTAATCAACACAAATTAAAGTGTGATAATAATTTTGATAAAATTCTGACTTTTATGATATTATTTTTGCAAATAAATATTTTGACAATGAAAACTATGGCGGTTTAACACGGACGCAAAGCCGGCTGAGAATTTTATTCATTTTTTACGTTTAATTTCGACTAATTCCCGGGAATTATTATTTCTAATTGTTCATATTATAGTAATAAGCCGATTTTTAATTAAAAAGTGACTGTAATTGAAAAATTAAATGAATTATTACATTATTTGTAAGACGAAAGAACGGATGATGTGAATAGGCGGGAGACCGGGAGGACTGTGACGTCACGCTGTGAAAATTGCGCGTCATCTTGCTCAGAAGTCTACTGCGCATGTTAGCTCTTCTGCGCATGCGCCAAAATTTAAATTTACGCGCGAACTTTTAAAATCTAAAAAACTTAGAAAATATTTTTATTTACGACTTTGATTAAGAAAAAAAAAATTACTAAGATTTAGACAGTAAATTAAAACATAAAAATAATTAATAATATTTATTTTTTTCTATCTTTTTAAAACATCAATAAATGTCTCTCTCGGTAAACTTATATTCCCAACCATTCTTAATCTTTTCTTCCCTTCATTCTGTTGATTCAAAAGTTTTTTCCTCCTTAATACATCTCCGCCAGATTTCTTTAAAAGAAAAATAATTGCATTTAACACCAAAATCTTCATTAGAATTAATAAAAAAATAATTAATTTAAATCAAGATGTTGTAGACCAAAATGATGTTATGTTTTTTATTTCATTTATTTAAAATAAAAAAACTTTTATTTGAAATAAAAAAAACATAACATCATTTTGGTCTGCAACATTCTGATTTTAATTAATTATAGAAGTACTTAGACCTAATTAGAGCAATAATATAATAAAAAAGAATATAAATGACAAAAAACTTACTAATTTTCCAGTTACATCCTTTCTATACGGCTTGATATTTTCTCTTGCTAACACCTTGCCTCCAACAGTCACCTGAATGGCAACTAAAAATTGTTGCCTTGGTATAATTTCTAATAATTTAGTACCCATTCGTTTGGCGATTTCAGTAGCTCTTGATGCGTGAACAATCGTGCTCAATTCTTCAATCAAACGCCCATTGAGCAGAACACTCAGCTAAAAAAATAATAAATTGTTAAATTTATTAAATAATAGTAATTAATTAAAAAAAAAAATATAATTACAATTTTAAAATTAGTTAAAATTATATATCAATACCTTGACAATATCTGTTCTTTGATAACCATTATCTTCATAATCAAAACTAGCGTAACCAGAGCTCAATGATTTTAATGCATCATGAAAGTCAATTATTATTTCGTTCAACGGTAAAATAAATTGTAGCATTAATCTATCTTTATCAATATACTTGGTCATCTGTTCAACTCCTCTTTTTTCCAAGCACAGACTCATAACACCGCCTAGATATTCCGCTAAATTAATAAATTTTTTAATTAGTAAATAAAATAAAAAAATAAATATTTAGAAACTAAAAAAAAAAACACATACCAGGTGTAATGATAGTTCCAAGTACCATAGGCTCAAAATATTCAGTAACAATTTGAGAAGCTGGAAACTTACTCGGATTATTGAAATAAATTTCATCAGTACCATACTCTTTTAAATTTTGTTTTCCATGAATTTTAGCTTTATACGTAACACTGGGAGCTGTTATTATTGGAGCGGCTTCATGCTCTTGTTCAAGTCGCTGGCAAAATACTTCCATGTGAAGTAATCCTAAGAAACCCAGTCGCCATCCTGGACCCAGTGCTGGACTAAATGATTAAAATATTATTTTATTTATTTATTATTATTTAATTAAGGTAAAAGACCCAGTTATTAACACTGGCCTACTTATTGATACTTGCAATTTTATTTTAATTAAAAAAAATAAATCAACTCTGATAAATTAACAAATATAATTTTTAAATCATAAATTTTAAAATAATTGATTTTTTGAGACCATTTCATTTTTTTTTTTTAATAGAATAAAATTGCAAGTGCCAAACAACTAGGCCAGTATCAATAACTGGGTCTTTTACCTTCAATATTTAATTAATTATTCAATATATTAATTTATTTATTTTTAACAACAAAATAAACTATTTATAAATAATTCAACACTAGAGTAATAAAATTTACCTAGTCTCGAGAGACATACTGACAGCACTGTCATTCAGTACGAGTTTTTCAATAGCATTTCTCAACGCAACATGCTGAGACTGGTCCATAGGATAGATACCAGCAAAGACCATAGCTTTCGGAGGACTGAAGCCAATTAGCGGCTCAACTGGATGATTTTTCAAATGAAGAGTGTCACCAATGTGAGCTTCCTTGGTAGTTCTCATATTGCAAGAAATACAGCCGACTTGTCCTGCAAAACTACATCATCAACAAATTAATCTCTTGAAAAAAAAATTACAATAAAATAATTAACAAAAATTAAATTACAGAGTCTTGACGTATTCCTCTTCCGGCCTGAGAAGCATCAAGTTCTTGACTTCGTAAGACTTTCCGGTATGAACAGAAGTGAGACTCTGTCTCATAGACAAAGCTCCATCAGAAACATAAATCAAAGCAATCGCACCTTTGTAGCGATCGTACCAGCTGTCAAAAATCAACGCGCGGAACGTGTTCTCGCGAGAGACTGGTGGAGGAGGAATTTTCTCGACAATTGTCTCAAGAACTTTGTCCACATTGGTGCCCTGCTTAGCAGAAATTTTTAAGACTTCCTCACTCTCGATGTCGAACAAAGTTTTTAATTGTTTTACAACCCGCTCAGGGTTTGCATTTTTTAAGTCTATTTTATTGATCACGGGGATTATCACCAGGTCGCGGCCAAACGCCAGGTAAAAATTGGCAACAGTCTGCGCTTGAACGCCGTCATTTGCATCTACAAGTAAAATTACACCCTGGCAAGCTGCTAAAGATCTGTGAACTTCAGTTGCAAAATCCACGTGCCCGGGAGTGTCAATTAGGTTCAGAAGATACTCGGTGCCATTGTAGGTGTATTTTAATGAAACTGTTTGGGCTTTTACAGTTATTCCGCGGTCTTTTTCCACCTGGAGTTTGTCTAATACCTGCGCTCCGGAATTACGACGAATTGCGCCGGTTATTTCTAGAAGCCGGTCAGCTAAGGTGCTTTTTCCGTGATCTACATGAGCAATTATACTGAAATTTCTTATGTTCTCTACTGGAATTTTGTATTCCTTCAGGTCTTCTGTTTCTGATGAGTAGGCTCTTTCAAATATGTAGTTACATCTGTAAATTTTATTTAAAATTAATTGGTACATGATTTTTTATGATAGAGACATTAGCAGACATTTTACAAGTTTTTAATTTTATTTAATTAAAAAATAAAACTATTTTATTTTTTAAATAAAATTGGTATATGACAAACATTAGAAATGTTTTTATAATTAAATATCAATGAAATTATCATGAAAAAATAGTAATAAAAAAATTTCACATGAGAAAATTAAAAAAAAATAATTAGTGGAAATTTTTAAAAACATTTTTATTATTGTGATTACAATCATGATTTGTAATGAAAGTTTTTTTAATTGACAAGTGTCAGCTGATTTCAGTATCTTTAAATAAATAAATAAATCATAATTTACTTGCTAAGTAAATCCTAAAGATTTTCTGATGTTGATTTTAAATGAAAGTAAAGTTAACAGACACCTGAAAATTTTTAGAATTCTTCTTATTGAAAAAATTACTAAAAAATTCCACATGTAGAAAATTTAAAAACAATACATGAAATTTTTTTAGTTTTAATTTAATTAATGAAAAAAAATATAAAAAATTGTTGAAGGTCTGCTAACTTAAATATCATGATTTTAAAGGAATTTTTTTAAAGATAGATTTTTTTGAAAAAAAAATTCTTTCAGTTTTGTCAGATTGTTAATTTTAGTTTTATAAATAAATAAAGCATAGAAAAATTTTTAAATAAAATTTTTTTGCTACTTGATATTATTAAAAATAATCATCCAAACAAATTTGAACATTATTTTTTTAATTAATTACAACAAAAACTTGTAATTATACTTGTACTCACTTCACATTTTTATAAGTGTTGTTATTAAAAATAATTTTTAACCTCGATGACACAAAATTAAAAATTGATTTCTTAGCATTCATAATAAATATTATGAAATAAAAATTTCTATATTGAACAACATTTTTTATTTATTATTTTATTATAAAAATGATTTATTTTGATCTAAACAATATCAAACACATTTATTTACTCTATCAGCTGTCTGGTCTTTTAATTAGAAATTTACCTTACCAACTGTAAATTGTTGTAGATAAGCTAGATTTTAATTTCAATTGTTAATTTATAACAATTATTCATTGTTATTATTGAAAAATTTATAATTATTACAATTTCTAAAATTAAATCACAAAAATACTTTTTGGAAGTCATTGTTTTAAAGAATTTGAATAATAAAACTTTCGCGCCATTCAGCCATTTTAAATTTCTAGCCGACAAATCTACCGAGTCATCCAATATGGCGTCAGAAGCCAATTCCTAAGTACGCAATAAATTCTCGTCTCAGTAAATTTATGATTTAACATGTTAATACTTATTTTTTATATCAAATTTAGTTATAAATAAGTAAAACAATGCTTTTTAATCATTTTGAGATAATAATTTCATTCGAGCGTAATTTTTTTTCCGTTTAAAATCTATTCGATATTTTGCGCAAGTCACGGGGTTATGATAGCTGATTCTATTACGGGTATTTTTTTTTTTCGTATGCTCCAAATTATTTTTGATGAATAATAATTATTTTTCTCGGTATAAAAATTATAAATTTTTAATTGAAATGATATTGAAAATAACAAATAATATTTTTTTTTGTAATCTAGATTCAATACTAGGAAATAATAGTTGAAATTTTAGCACTAATTTTATAAATTTGTCTGCCATTATTTTTTTGATGATTTTTTATATTTCAGACAACAGAAATTTGAAATTTTTTAATTTTTATACTTAAATTTTTTTATTTTCAACCTAAAAAAAATTATAAAAGTCAATCTGAAATTCCTTATAAATTTTTTAATTTACTTTTTTTGCATTATTTTAATATTTTTTAAACTATTTGAAATTTTTTTAAATTGGAGCTACAAATTTGTCAAATTTTAAAGAATTTTTTAATTACTGGCTTACTAATTGAAAGAAAAAAAAATATTATTTGTAATTTTCATTATATATCATTAAAGAGTTTTGTGGAATTTTTGTGTGGTGATTTTGTGAAAACATAATTAATTAATTAATATGACAATGACATTGCTGGCTAAATCAGAACATCATCAAAATTGGAGATTGAAGGTGATTCTTCAGTAAATAAAAAGGAGCGTAGTTGATACTCCTGATAATTGGTAAGTCTTTAAATGAAAATTAAGTTAGCCGAAAATTTTTTGAATTTTTTTTATTGAAAAAATTATTACAAAAAAATTTAAAAAAAAACCATTTTAAAAAACTCTAAAAATTATAAATGCAATTTTTTAAGAATACCATTTAGTTCTAATTTAATAATTAAAAAACTTTAAAAATTATCAGTTCAATTTTTCAAAAATACTATGTAGTTCTAATTTAATAATTAAAAAAAAAAATCATTTTTATAAAACGTGAAAAATTATCAGTGTAATTTTTTAAAAATACTTTTTAGTTCTAATGTAATAATTAAAAGAAAATTAAAAAATTAACAATGTCGGTAAACTTTAATACCATAGTCTTTAAATCATTATTTAATAATTTTATTTATCTATTTATTTATTTATTGAAAATGAACTGATTAATAAATTATAGAATTACTAATTTTAAATTGACAGTAGCAGAAGTCATTGATCTAGAAGTGATATTCGACTGCTAAAATCCAAGAATTATAAACAAAGTTGGCTGATTATTCTTCGAAATTTCAGATGAAACATCGACCAGAGTTCGAGGGTATAACTGTGCTCTTTACAATCCAGCTCTACTCTTGAAGAAATCTTGGATAAAATTGAAAAGGAGCCGAAGCCGAATACTTCTAAAAGACATAATCTAGTCCCGAAGTCGTCTAGCTGTCTGGTGAGTGCTATTTGTTGTTGTATACCCTGTTGTTTGTAGTTTTTGGTCTGCACAGTATATATAATCCAAGCAAAAGTACTCTGGTAGTCATAGTCATCTAAAAAGTCAAAATGTCACAATGGGATCACGAGCCACGCCCTGGTACGGCAATCGAGTGGATTTCCCTAATACAAATACGTGAAGACAGGCCATGAAATGTACCGCCTTTTGATATTTCAGTAGATATAGATATATAACTTTTCTGGAGTAAATTTGACGTTAACTAAATAAACACATTGGGTATCGGCAACTTTTGAAGTGGGTTGTGGACAGTCCTTGTTGACGTGGACCCCAAGGGTCTCTACTGAATGTAATCCACGGTTTTCTATTGTCGGCAACGATTTGTCGGCACCTTTGCAACTCACTCATGGACAATATTCCCCTGCTTATAAGCTTTACACTCTCATGGTTTTTCATTATTCTGGGGTAGTTGTTATTTCTTTTTTTTTTTATAACATTTGCTTCTTTCATGGAAAAAGACGCGTGAATCATAATCGTTGATATAAAATATTTCTTCAACACCTTCTTGAAAATCGTGACTTGAAGGAATTTTTTTTTTTTTTTATTATAATAATAAATATGTATCATCTATAAAAATTACAATTGAATTTTATTCTTTGCTAGGTACTGTCATCATTTTGAAATTCAATCGTTAATTTTTTTTTTAAATTGAAGAAGTTTTATTGATTATTGATATTACTAAGAGAATAAGCAGAAATTTTTGCTCAGAGTATAGAGATAAATTTGGTATCGTTGGAAAAGACTTGACCTGGAGTTGTGCTTTTTCACGGTTTCATATCATTCTCACCGATAGTCAATGTATGGTAATAAGTATTTAGGCTGCACTCGAAAATGCTCTTTTTAGATACATAATTAAGAAATGACCTTGTATCTTGTGAACTATTGACATTTTTAAAGATATAAACTCATCCTGATGTTACACGCATCAAGACCTTTCATTTGAGTACCCACATCAATTTTTCATATATTTATATATATTATATATATGTATATATGAAAAATATATCAAAAATGCATGTGGGTACTCAAATGAAAGGTATCGATGAATGTAACATCAGGATGAGCTTATATATTGTTAGAAATATCATTAGTTTAGAAGATATAATGTAATTTCTTAATTATTGACATTTTTAAAGATATAAAATCATCCTAATATTACACGCATCAAGACCTTTCATTTGAGTACCCACATCAATTTTTCATATTTTTATATATGTGTATATGAAAATTATATGAAAAATTCATGTGGGTACTCAAATGAAAGGTTTCGATGAGTGTAACATCGGGATGAGGTTATATCTTTAAAAATGTCAATAGTTAAAAAAGTACAGTGCAATTTATCGAAAGTCATTATTTAATGAAATAAATTTTCAAATTAAGAGTAAAAGATATTTAATTTAATTTTCAAAAATCATTAGAAATGTGAGTAAATTACATTTTTTTAATTAACTTACATAAAAAATTTATTAAAAATATTTAGTTAATTTTTTCTAAACGACCATTTTCAATTTGGAATCTATTGCTTCAATTTTGCTTAAAGACATGATAAATAATAATTAAATAATAAGTGTCAAGAGACATAATAGTTTCCAGATGACACAATAAGTAAGATGTAAAAATCTAAGACCACCGGGTGAAGAAAACCACTCGAGTATAATTAGCCACGGTTTTTTTAAAATATTACCTATATCTACTTATATCTTATAAAAATATAATGCATACAAAAAGTCTGTTGAGCTGCACTAAATACCGTGGATTATTTCCTGAATCTATTCATCTTCAACCACTCGGTTTATGTTTAATAAATACTCACGTGTTCAAAACGATCTACCTGGGGTACGTTATGAACTTAACACATAAAAGTTATATTAGGATGGAGGATGTTGCGTATCAAATCGCGATTCGGCACGATAGTCCTTAATATCCCAGTTACTCTATCTATTTCCATTTATCGGGTTTCATTAATAAATATTTTTTTGTATATCAGAAAAACATGTTTATTTTTTTTCTTTTAAGTAAGCTGAGTTTATATTTAATAGCTACAATTTATAAAATAAATTCAAAGCTTTATTAATTATTTTTAAGCTTTGCTAATAATTTTTTTCTTACAAACTCAAAAGTTTGATAAAATTTTAATAAAAAATAGTGAAGTCAAAGTACATAAAACTCACCTGATCTACAAAGAAGCCAAAGAATAAAAGAAGTATAAGTAAAACTTAAACTGTATAAAAAAATGACAATCCTCTTATTCTTATTCTTCTTTAGAGATAAATATAATCGAAGCACAATGTAAAAGCGAGAACGTTTTTCGGTGGCTGTAAAAGGTGGCGAGGACGACACCACAACAAGAGCTGAGGACAATGTGCTCACACACCGCACACCATAATGCATTATACAATGGCTAACATACATAAGACCATAGACCAGAAACCAGAAACCAGATGAGTCTATGTGGGACTATTTATCTACAAACGTTTACGTTACTCAAATTAAATGAAAAGAGACCTGCTGGAGAACACTCAACTAGAAGTGGCTGGATGAATGATCAAGAAGTCTGAGTGGGAGAAGAAGAAAGGATCCTTTGGAAGGTCTCAAGAAGTTAAACGATTTGGGTAGTTCTTTGGATTAGCTAAAGGTGTATATCGAAGTAAGTTGAGTAAAAAAAAGACATCCACGCGTCGAAATCCATACTCTTGATCTGATCAATGATCGCTCATACCTTGGATCTGAACTTCCACGGCACGGGCCATCTGGTCTCTGGTTAACGTCTGGTCTCAGCTTCATAGTCAAGAGATCCACTCAGTGTCATCCCGCTCTTGTCATGATCACTCATTTGGAAAAAAACGCGCTTTGATTAATGGACAACTGTGGTTTTATAACACCCGAAGTGTGTAAAGGGAAACGTTCTCGGGGTTTTGTTGGGTTTTATTACCATTTTTTTTTTTATTAATATTGTAGAATTTTTAATTTTTTTCGTTAGTTTGAAAAATTTTGTTTCGAT